GGTGTCCTCACCGGGACGCCAACCGGAGACCTTCTAGCTGTGATGCTAACAGTGCTAACCACTGATCCACCTGCAGCTCCAGCTAGCTCCAATATTGGAGACAACGTTGGCTCTACGTGTTTCACTATTTATATTTTTACAGTTTGGACAAACTGTGTGTTTTTCTGCACACGTTTCTAGAAGATGCTCCACCTGGACGTGTCTCCAACAACTGGTTCCTCTGGTTCTGAGCCGTGCTGCCTTTAGTTCACTGACTGGTTAGTTTCACATCAGTGAGCAGAATCAGGATGAACATGTGCAGCGTCGGGTCATCTGCTCTACCTGTCAGATGCATCCCTCCATCATGGGTTGGTTTCTGGTCTCTGCTTTGCGTGAACTCGTCCTCGCGGCTTCACAGAGCTCAGGATTCATCCGATCGGAGCAAACACTCGAGTTTTGGTGTTTTTTTGACTGAGACGTGTAGAACAATGTGATTCTGATGAAATATCACAGTATTGATCGTAGCTTTGGTTCAGTCTTCGGATTGAACCACACGAGTAGTTCAGGGACCAGCGGAAAATGGAACATCGCTTTTTTCTGGGTTTTTTTGTTTTTGGCTTAAATGAATTCTCTCATTTTGCATTTTTTCCGCATGCCTTTCAGATCTTCTAGTTTTGCAGTTCAGAGGGTTAAACCTTCTTTTCTCTTTAGAGATCAACAGTCGAGCACTAAATGCACCAAATGAATGGTTTCACTGCAGTCGGAGGAAACGCGCTCGTTTCCAGAAAGACGTTCGCTGTCGGGGAAAGAAAACAAACGACTTTTAGCCATTAGCATAAAATATATTCACTATAACGTCATTTAACCTTAAAACTATGTAAAAAGGCTCCGGTTGAGCCTGTAGCTTTATATAAACGGTTGGAACTAGTTTGTCCTTAAAGTCACGAATGTCGGAGGAACAAGAATGAAATCAAACCGAGAACATGTTCCACGTAAATGAGCTTCTTCTGGAGCTTTCAGCCACATCTCTCTGTCTTTGCTCAGGAAGCATCACAGCTGTTTGTAGTTTGAATGAATTTACAGACTTTATGAATCACTTTTACAGACTTTACACGAAACCTGAACTAAAAATGCTAAATGTGCTAAATGCACAGACGACGTGTTGTTGCTTCTCCAGCTTTGTTTTTCTATTAGAAATAAGGAGATAACTTAATAAAGTGTTCTTTAAATGTGCTGCATACACATAGTATTTGATTTAAAGGTGCTTAAACACAGTAAACCACATGAACACCTCTGGATCTAAAGGCTACAGAGACGTTAGCTACGATGCTAACCAGGCTAGTTAGCACTTAGCAGGAAGGTTTGATCTGGTCTCACTTTCTCCTCCAACAGAAAACATTTAGCTGTTAATTCTGATTTATGCGGTTGAACAAGTTCCACTGTGAAGACGTCGCAGCATTAAAACGGGAGAAAAGTGGCTAAATTAGCTTCTGCTAATGCTAACAGCTAGCCTAAAGTAGCTGCTGCAGTTTGGTTTTAGCTCTTTTGTAGCTTTTGTTTGTTCTGTTTCCTCCCAAATATTAACATTTCTAACAAATAACATATTTTATAAATGCTGTAAAAGTCAGTATTACATGGTTATGTAGTTATGATATAAACGTCTAACCCGTACTGTTCTACCGCAGATGTTTTAGTGTCGTAATAAAAACCATAACAGCACACGTATTTGTAATGTATGAACAAAGAATTAGACATTTTAAATTGGTGGCATTTGAACTAAAACTGGATGACGAAAAACACGATAAGCATCATTTAGTGCTCAACATGTTTTAGTTTTTACGTCCCTATAAAAAGCTGTTAAAATAAAATGCAACTAGCCAGATAGTCTTAATTCTATCTGTTAATAATGTGCTGGTGTGTTGACTCGGGACTGTTGAGCTGTTTGATTTAATTGAGGTTCTGTTCTGTGACCCGTCTGCGGCTGAAGACAGCCAGATGCAGTTGAAAGCTCTGGAACAAAGTTCTCAACCTGCGATTCCCTCAGTGACAGTGTTTACGTTTCATTGTGAACGATTCAGACGCCTGCAGCCGTCGTTTCACGTCACTAAACCTGAGCTGATGTTCTTACGTGTTCGGTCCGGTTCTGCCTTCGGCCCACCTGCCTGAGATGAGATTCACTAATAAGCTCAGCGTTCCTCTAGTAAACAGTTCGGCTGCTTCTTGTTGCTGAAGCTACCTTCAGCGGAGCCTCTGTGTTCTGTCGGACCAGAACAATGAGTCTCTGTGTCCGCTGAGAACAAAAGGACCCGTCTGTGCTCGGATCAGGAACTGACCGCGTCGACCTCGGCGCTGTTTGAGCAGAAGTTCATACGTGAAAGTGAAAATACAGCCGAGTCCAGTTCCTGTTTGAGCTCATTTCAAGCTGCGGTTAATGATGTTAAAGCAGAAGTCGAGTTTGTTTCGCTTTGACCCTCTGAACCCCAAACTGGTTCTGTTCCCGTCACATTCCTCGTCACTGTGGAAACAGCACCAGAACGAGGAAGGAGAGAAGTTCTGTTTGTGCAGGATGACAAAGTTAGAACGACAGAAATGATGGAAATGGAAACATGAAGGTTGTTTATCTTTGATCATTAATGTTAGAAAAAGAAACAAGGATTCACCTTCTAGAAAGGTTTCCAGCATGCAGAGCAATGAGGCTCCACAAACCATAGATATGAACTATCTCCATGTTCCTCTCTGTTCCTCAGCTGTAGGAAGATGTTCCACCATCAGCTGGATGTATCTCCATCAGCTGGTTCCTCTGTTCTCTGGTTCTGATCCATGCTGCATTGATTCATTGATCAGAACTAGCAGAAACCCAGCGGCTCTACGTCCTTTACATCTTTTACTGCGAGTATTTTGATCTGGTTCTGTAGTTCTCTGCTCTGAAAACAAAGCAAAGAGTTGTTGTGATGTGACTGTCGGTTGAGCCTCTGATGCTTGTGGACTGAAGTGTTTTTAGAGTTTGTGGTTGTTCTTTATGAGGAAGCTTTAAATCGACCGACCAGGTTTTGGGGTCCAGAGGGTTAAAACATCAGCTCTGAGATTCAGAGGCGTTTAGTTCCTGCATCGTTTGAAGCAATACTGAATGATTCTACGTTAACCTTCACGTCGCCGCTGACGGGAAGCTGCAGGCCGTCCCTCTCTGATGCACTCACCTGTCGGGCCGTCACACCTGTGAATGTACTCCCTCCTCCTCCTCCTCCTCCTCCTCTCTCCCGTCTATGCAACGCTTCAAACAAGAGGTTTCTGGAACCAAAGTCAATCTGTGGCAGCTTGCGTCCAACACAATCATAGAAGTGAACAAGAGGAAACGTGCTGCTGCTGCTGCAACAAGCCGTCATATGCAAAGTATTGTAGACTCCTTCAGTAGACCATGTACGATACCATGTAGTAATCTCAGTGTAAATAAAACTCTTATAAAGTACAGCAGCTCGTGTGTGTCGCACACTGTGTTGTTTCTTTGGATGTCATTCAACTCATTTTGTGCAGAAGTGGATTTCATGCAGTGTGTTCCATCGGTCTGTAGTCAGATGTGCAGTGACGGACGCTTTTCAACATTAATCTGATATAATTCAGCTCTTCTATGCATAAATCTGACATTTTCACTATTGATCTCACACATGAAGCCATAACCTGTAGCTTTTGTGCCATGTGTTATTACTTACAGCCATGTTTGAGCTCCTCTATCCGTTACACACTTATCTGGTATATCTGAGCTCTTACATCCAGAACATTTACCCGTTCTCTGGTGATCTCATAATTTCAGCTGACTGTCTCAACTGTTCATCCATTATATTTTAACATTCACCCACTCCTTCTAACCATGTATGTGTTGCTTTTACAGTTGTCACATTTATTACCTGCAGCTCTATTTTAACTTTCATCTGTAATTTCTTTTTTTTTTCTTTTACATTTTTTGGGATATTTCAGTTTTTATATCCACATTTATCCATGACTTTTTCAGTTGTTAATTACCTGTAGCTTTATTTCTGCTTTCATGCCCATAACTTTCAGTATTTCTCTGCTGCTTTTAGATGATTAATTCTGCTGTGTATCTATTACTTTTATTTGTTTCTGCTCATTTATCCTTACCTTTTGACTTCCTTTGCCTCTTCACTCCATTTAACGTAATAATAATGTTTGTGGTTACATTGATGTAATTATTTTGAAAGTTTATGCATCACTTCAACAGAATTGGAAGCGTCGTCACCGCTGCACTACTGATAGCAGCCGCTGGGTGGCGGTAACTGCAGCTCACTGTTTATCTGCTGCTCCTGGTGATGTTTGTCAAGTATGCGGGTGTAGCAACATAAAAGGAAGTGATCATTTATATTTTCAAATTAACCTCATATATAGTGCTTTTCATTCTTTTAGCAAAATAATAATAATAATAAAAGTAGAAAGTTCATTTAGAAACTACTTTATTTTTTTAACGTATTCTTGATTCTATTTTGCGGATATGTGTGTTTTGTTGTTATTATTATTAATGCTTGTTGTTGTTGTTTTCTGTCATATTTTGAAAGTCTCGAACGGTTGCCGTGCTCGTGTGCGCTAGCTTGTCGCTAGCCGCAGTGTTGTCAGGTCGAGGCGGAGCTGTCATCTTTGCTAGCTGCCGTGTTAGCCGCTGTTGTGTTTTGTCATGACAACCCGTCCCGTTAGAAAATAGCGCAGCTCACGGGTTCATTCGTTCACGGATCCACCTTGGGAGCGGACAGAAGTCTGGGCGGACAGCGGAACAGTGAGATGAAATGACAACGTCAACATTACAGGTGCGGTTAGCTCGCTAGCTAACGTTAGCGTCATATAACTTGGTTTAGCGCTAGCCTCTGTCTTATATTAGCATACGCTCGGGCACAGAGCTAACCGTTGATGTTTTTTAGGAAAGTTGAGAATCCAACGTTGTTTTTGCAACCCGGAAAGCACTGATCGTTGTTCTGAAGGTATATTTATGATCTGCAAAGACTCTCCTATTCATCCGGTTGATCAAATATTTTGTCCGCTGAACCATTAAATAAGAAATTTAATTAGTTTCCCAAGTTGCGCCTCTGATTGCTAATCAAAACAAAGATGGCAGCCGGTGCGCCACCTGACAGAAAACAATTAAGTGAAGGTGGGAAACGGGTTAAAAGTCATTTTAATCAGCCAGAGGACGAAGTATGCTTTACGCAGATGGTTAGAGGAGACTCCAATGATTCTATAGATACCTTCATGTTAATGTGAAACGATTTTTAGTCGACCGTCTGGTTTCTCAGATGTCGGCTATTAGTGAAATAACGGAGAGCTGTAAGAGCCAGTGTATGCTAATACAGCTGGAGCTAGCTTAGCCATGTAGCAGCTTTAATGCAAGTTAATGTCCAGTAACCAGCTGACGGTGAAGCTGCTGAAGGTATTAGCATGGTAGCTCAGTTAGCTGAGGTTCAGATGTTCCGTTAACACATCCATGTAGTGCTGGTGTCCAGACTGGCTGGTTAGTGTAGAAACATTAATGACATTTGGGAGTTGTGGGGATGGGTCTGAGCTCGCTGAGGTCCAGCTGCTCTGGAGGCTGTTTGCAGCTGCAGCAGGCTGCTAGCAGGGCTGTGGCCTCAGCTGCAGGATGGAAGCAGAGCCTGTTGTTTGGGGACTGTGTAGGAACCCTGCTCTGAACCCTGTAGATGGCCAGAGTCCTGATGAAGGGCTTTGTTTTGGTCCGAGCTGTGTGCTGGTGTGCAGGCTGATGGAGGAGGACCAACACGTGTCCACCTCCCTCCTCCACCTCCTGCCTCCGCCCACCACTGTGTCTGACTTTATGTCTCTGCTGCAGAAAGCGATTGATCTTGTCACCAAAGCCACAGAGGAGGACAAGGCCAAGAATTATGAGGAGGCCCTGCGCCTGTACCAGCACGCTGTGGAGTACTTCCTGCACGCCATCAAATGTAAGCGCCGCATCCGGACACACATCCGGACCGACTGCTGTGTGGCGTTCTCATGCTTGATTGGAATTTCATCCTGTCCTTCCAGATGAGGCCCACAGCGACAAGGCGAAGGAGAGCATACGAGCCAAGTGCATGCAGTACCTGGACAGAGCGGAGAAGCTCAAGGACTACCTGAAGAACAAAGACAAGCAGGGCAAGAAGCCGGTGAAGGAGGCCCAGAGCAATGACAAGTAGGCTGCTGCTCTGCTGCCAGCGCGCTCACCAGCCACAGGATGGACCTGGTACCGTGTTCTCACTGTGGTTCTGTGTGTTTCTAGGAGCGACAGCGACAGCGAGGGAGAAAATCCAGAGAAGAAGAAGCTGCAGGAGCAACTGATGGGTGAGTGGAGAAATCAGTTAGTTAGTTAGTTAGTTAGTTAGTTAGTTAGTTATTAGGACTGAAAACAATGAATAGATTTTAAGCTGAAATGGGGCTGCAGGTGGATCAGTGGTTAGCATCGTGGCCTCACAGCTAGAAGGTCGCCGGTTCACGTCCCGGTGAGGACACCCGGGATCTTCCTGCGTGGAGTCTCCATGTTCTCCCCGTGCAGCGTGGGTTCTCTCCGGGTTCTCCGGCTTCCTCCCAGGATGAAGGTGTAGAGATGATGGATGGATGATTGTTGTTGTATTTAACTAGACTGTAAAATGTGCAGTACTTACATGCTCCTTAAAGCAACCGACATGTTTTTATATCAGATGCTATTTTTATTACTTTTACTTGTTTTATCTGTTGAGCACATTCACAGCTGTTCTGGTTCTGGTTCTGTCTCCTACACCATTTGAACCTTGTAATAAATACGTACTGGAAGCAGAGGGTATCTTGACGTCCTTGTATCAGAACATGAAGCGGTTCGTACTCTGATGTGCTGTCGGGTCGTCATGTCGTGAATCTGCTGCACCATAAATATTCAGCTGAAGCTTGAAACAACACCTCGATATCAGATGGAAACTTTTCAGCCGGATATTTTCCTTTAGTTGCTGGACTCTGGTTTTCAGGTGTGTGATACGTGGAGTTTTTTAGAACTGATCTTGGAGTCACGTTGCTGAGTTTGTAGTCCGCCGTGTGGCCTGATGTCGTCTTCACATCCTGAAGCCTAAACTCAGACGCAGAAGTTTGGTTTGTTGTCACGGTGAGACGATGCCGCAGCACCTGGACGTCAGGTTTAGTGCAGAACTGCATGAGGACGAGTTTAGTTCATGAATCTGATCTAAAAGCAGAACTGGAGCATGAAGATGATGTAACCATGGAAACCTGTCCAGTTCCTGTCCTGAGACGTTCAGACTGATCAGTGATGCTAATAATCGCCTGTTTACACATTTAGCTGCATGAAGCTGTTTCCATGATCCTGTGTCTTCATACGGGGTAAAGACGGCGTCGCTGTTCTGCTGCTGGGATCAAACTGAACTCGGTCCGCCTGTGATTCGATCCTGACGTTCACCTGAAGCTCTCTGAGCGTGTCCTGTTGCTCTCTGCTGATGCTGAACTCTTAGTTTTTTTAAATGGATTTACTTTAAATCAAACTGTTCCTTTTTGGCTGCTTTTTGCAAATTTAAAGTGATTTTAATGAAATATTGTGACTTTAAGTTCAGATTTCGGTCATTTTTAGACAGAACTCTGCATCGTACATGAAGAGTCTGTGTTTGTCTCTAATGAATGGTTGAGTTTGTTTTAAAGCAGACACAGCTGTCCAACCAATCCTGTTCCAGCATTCAGAGCCGTAGCGTCTGTCTTTGTGTGACGAGGCGTCTCCAGCAGACTCGTGCATTCAGGCCTGTTAGTAACAGAGGGGCTTGTTTCAGGTGCTATTGTGATGGAGAAGCCCAACGTGAGGTGGAACGACGTGGCCGGACTGGAAGGAGCTAAAGAAGCTTTGAAGGAAGCCGTCATCCTGCCCATCAAGTTCCCTCACCTCTTCACAGGTACGTTCACTCGTTAACTCGCCCCTCTGTGCAGCTCGACTCGTGGCTCCGTCGGCCTGACCTACAGGTGTGCTTGTTGGCAGGTAAACGCACTCCATGGAGAGGAATCCTGCTGTTCGGTCCTCCAGGAACGGGGAAGTCATATCTGGCCAAAGCCGTGGCCACCGAAGCCAACAACTCCACCTTCTTCTCCGTGTCGTCCTCAGACCTCATGTCCAAGTGGCTGGGAGAGAGCGAGAAGTAGGTTCCTGCTGCTGGAGCTGTGGTCTGGGCAGAGACACCACGCTGCTCACATGGAGGAGGAGGAGCTTCATGACTCCACATCTCCATCCTTCTGGAGCCACAGCAGTCCGTTAATGGACCTCAATCATACGTTTGGCAGCTGGTTGATCAGGTTAAGAACAGAGTTAAAATCATCTGAATAGTGGCTTCAGGTGCAGCATCAGGTGGAACATCTAGAACCTTCTCCACTGTGGTTCATGTAAATAAAGGCGGAGTCAGCACATTGTGTCTCACCTCCAGTCTTGTCAGAAACACATTTCAGTGAGTGGTTTTTGGAATGAAAGAGAAGAATGTTGGTCCAGTTTAAATCCAGGACCAGAGATCCTCCCAGTGAAGCGATCGTCCAATCAGGTGCAGCGGTGGTTGGTTTTAGTTGAAGAGCGTCTGTAAGGTGACTCTAAAACTCAGAGCCCCTCCAGAAGCTTCCTGCTGCCCACAGCTCCCAGTCAGCCCAGTTACAGCCGTTTGATTCTTTCTCGTGTCTCTCTGACTCGTGTCTCTCTGACTCGTGTCTCTCTGACTCGTGTCTCGTGTCTCTGCAGGCTGGTGAAGAACCTGTTCGACTTGGCTCGCCAACACAAGCCCTCCATCATCTTCATCGACGAGGTGGACTCGCTGTGCGGCTCCAGGAACGAGAACGAGAGCGAAGCAGCCCGACGCATCAAGACCGAGTTCCTGGTCCAGATGCAGGGTGAGTCCAGAACCAGAGCCAGAACCACCAGAACAGTATCCAGATGAAGGCTTGAAGCCCACATTCTGCTGTCTGTGCCTGTAAACGGTCTGCAGACTCGTTTAGAGCTGATCATCTGCTGCAGGTCGACGTCTCCTCACTTTGAGTGTAAACAGTTTGACTGGAAGCAGCAAAACTTTATTGAATCGAGAATCACTGCAGGAACACAACAGATCCGATCCCATGTGTCAGTGAACACATGCTGTTTGTTCTGTGTTCCTGCTGTAAACCGAGTCCGACCTCACGCTGCTCCTCCGTAGTGGATCAGGTTTCAGGTTTCTCTGGTTCCACAGGTGTCGGGAACAACAACGACGGGATCCTGGTGCTGGGAGCCACCAACATCCCCTGGGTGCTGGACGCCGCCATCCGCAGAAGGTCAGAGGTCCATCGCTGCTCTGCTGTTAGCTTAGCATCCACTAGTTCAATGTTAGCTTAGCATCCACTACTTCACTGTTAGCTTAGCATCCA